GTGTGGGAATGTGTGAATGTCGTGTGGGAATGTGTGAATGTCGTGTGGGAATGTGTGAATGCCGTGTGGGAATGTGGGAATCTCATGTGGGAATGTGTGAATGTTGTGTGGGAATGTGTGAATGCCGTGTGGGAATGTGGGAATCTCATGTGGGAATGTGTGAATGTTGTGTGGGAATGTGGGAATGCTGTGTGGGAATGTGTGAATGTCGTGTGGGAATGTGTGAATGCCGTGTGGGAATGTGTGAATGCCGTGTGGGAATGTGTGAATGCCGTGTGGGAATGTGTGAATGCCGTGTGGGAATGTGTGAATGTTGTGTGGGAATGTGTGAATGCCGTGTGGGAATGTGGGAATCTGTGTGAATGTGGGAATGTGGGAATGTCGTGTGGGAATGTGTGAATGTGGGAATGCCGTGTGGGAATGTGGGAATCTCATGTGGGAATGTGGGAATGTCGTGTGGGAATGTGTGAATGTGGGAATGCCGTGTGGGAATGTGTGAATCTCGTCCTCCCTCCTGTCTGGTCTCCCACATTTATCTGGCTGCTCACAATAATTGTTTCATTTCTGCGGATTGTTTGGTGTCATACTCTGGGGGGCGGAGCCGGGACCCCGCGGGAACTCTCTGGCCTCCGCTTTCAGAATTGGTCCTGAATGGGCCCCTGGTAGAGGCGTAAAATGGAGGGACACGGCGCCCCGCTGGGCTCTACACTGCGCACTCTGCCCGCTCTCAGGGGGGGAGAGGCCTTTGTGTTATCATTTGTGTCTCCTATTGAATAAAATGTTTTCAGTGCCACCCCCCATCTGTTTCTATTGCCCTTTATTTACCCCCCAATCCCCCCCTCCCCCATAATGCCCTCCTCTCTATCCCTGCCTGTGTGTGTGACACAGGAGAGGTCATCATATGTGAATAGGGCCCCGCCGCGGGTCAGCGATCTTCTATGCCGCGCCTTTATCGCGCTCTGTCTTTGGCGTGTATCTCTCGCATGCGTCAGCCGGCCGAAGTCACCGCTAATTAGAGGGACAATTGTCGCTGGGTGGCCGGCAAATGGACGCCATTCAATATTTCCCATGGCGCTGGTTCCGTACGCGGCCGTCTCCGCGACCTCCTGGGCGGTTCTTCTGTCTTCCAGCCGCGCTCAGGTATTGATTCGGGGAAAGCGAGGGATCTGGTGCCCCCATGCCGGACAATGGCGCTTCCTGGGGATGAAAAAAGTCGATTTCTGTTCGGTCTTGGCCAGGACGCAACCCCGCTATTGTCGCCACGTGAAACTTTTGACGCTTTTCAAACAGAGGATAATAACGGCATTGTGGCGCGGTGTTCAGGAATGGTGCGGGGGGGGGCGTCGTCACATCAGCGATGTAGGCGGAGAGTGGCGTCCGGGGGATTTCAGGAGGTCTCCTTAGTCATGATTTATTAGGAGAACCTGCTGAAGAGTAAACTGAAAAGACGCAGCGGTCGCTTTAATTCATGACACCCTTGCTGAGCGATCTGCAGTGGAAAATCACCTCCTCCTATTTAAATGTCCAACTCTGCTGATTGGAGAGCTCTGTCTGCTTCCCTGTGTCGGATATGGCCAATAAATATCCAAAATGGCTGCGTGAAGCGGTGGACAGATACAGTTGTGCGCAAATGTCGGCCTCCCCTCGGAGAATCGGTCATATACAGGGTGGACCATTTGTAAAGAAAAACACGAATGAGCCGGCAAAACACATTTCATGTATTTCTTATGGGATTCCTATTCTGTAACTGGAGGGGATAACAGAATGGGCCAATCATAAAACAGAACACGGCGACAAGTCAACCAATGAAATGCCCCGTTCAGTAGATTGCCTCCCCTTAGGCCGGCCATACACTATACAATTTTCTGTCCAATTTGATTTAGATTTACCTTCAACTATGTAGTACGAGGGCCCGCCTAATTGGATACAATTGTAAGTGTTGTTAGGTTTGACCTCCTATTATATGGTTTTTGGTAAATCTAAACCAAAAATCTCAAGAAAATTGTATAATGTATGGCCGGCCTTAGTCCCTAATCCTGTGTAGCGCCCCTTCAGTATCAATCAAAATGCCTCCAGGTCATCCAAAGTCTTTGGTGGTCTTCCATGAACCTCAAGAAAAATGCCTCCAGGTCATCCAAAAAGTCTTTGGTGGTCTTCCATGAACCTCAAGAAAAATGCCTCCAGGTCATCCAAAGTGTTTGGTGGTCTTCCATGAACCTCAAGAAAAATGCCTCCAGGTCATCCAAAGTCTTTGGTGGTTTTCCATGAACCTCAAGAAAAATGCCTCCAGGTCATCCAAAGGTCATCCAAAGTCTTTGGTGGTCTTCCATGAACCTCAAGAAAAATGCCTCCAGGTCATCCAAAGTCTTTGGTGGTCTTCCATGAACCTCAAGAAAAATGCCTCCAGGTCATGCAAAGTCTTTGGTGGTCTTCCATGAACCTCAAGAAAAATGCCTCCAAGAAAAATGCCTCCAGGTCATCCAAAGTCTTTGGTGGTCTTCCATGAACCTCAAGAAAAATGCCTCCCAGGTCATCCAAAGTCTTTGGTGGTCTTCCATGAACCTCAAGAAAAATGCCTCCAGGTCATCCAAAGTCTTTGGTGGTCTTCCATGAACGGCACGTTTGAGATCTCCCCAGAGCGGCTCGATGATATGAAGGTCAGGAGACCGTGATGGCCGCTCCAGAACCTTCACCTTGTTCTGCTGTGACCACCGGAGGACCAGCTTGGCCTTGCGCGTGGGGTCATTGTCCTGCTGCAACGTCCAAGAGCGTCCCATGCGCAGATGAATGCAAATTGTCTGCCAGTATATTCTGATAATATGCTGCATTCATCTTGCCTCAATTTTCACAAGATTCCTCGTGCCTTTAGTAGGTCACACCCCCCCCCCCCCCCAAACATCAGTGAGCCAGCACCATGCTTCACAGTAGGGATGGTATCCTTGTCGCTATGGACCCCTCTCCAAACAGCGCTTATAGCTGTGAACATGAAGCTTTAGTCTGGTCTAGTCGCTCCAGATTACAGTGCGCCAGATGCTGAGGCGTGTCAAGGTGTTGTCGGCATATTGTACCCAGGCTTTTTTGTGGCATTGGGCAGTAAAGGCTTCTAACTGGCAACTCCACCATGCAGCTCAGTTTTGTTCAAGTATCACCGTATTGTGCTCCTTTAAGAACAACCGCGCCATCTTTCCAGAGCGGCCTGTATTTCTCCTGAGGTTACCTATGGGGGTTTTTTCTTTGTATCCCCAATAATTTTGGCAGTTGTGGCTGCGATCTTTCTTGGTCTCCCTGACCTTGGCTCGGTGTCAGGAGATCCTTGAATTTTCCACTTCTTAATAAGTGATTGAACAGCGCTGACCGGCGTATTCCAGGCTTTGGATATCTTTTTAGATCCTTTTCCAACTTTATAAAGTTCCATCACCTTGTTACGCTGGTCTTTTGACAGTTCTTTTCTGCTCCCCATGACTCAGTGCATCCACATGAGAGAGAACAAACTCACTGACTATTTATACACGGACACTGATCGCAATTTGAAAAGCCACAGATGTGGGAAATTAACCCTTTAATTGCTATTGTACCCTGTGTGTGTCCCCCGGGGGTGCCATACTTCAAACCAGTCCCACCTTCCATCATATCAGAGCCCCCCCTTTACATCACAGTCCCCCCTTCACATCAGTGCCCCCTTCCATCATATCAGAGCCCCCCCCTTTACATCACAGTCCCCACTTCCATCATATCAGACCCCCCCCCCTTTTACATCACAGTCCCCCATTAACATCAGTGCCCCCTTCCATCATAACAGAGCCCCACCCCCCCTTTTACAGCACAGTCCCCCCTTCCATCATATCAGAGCCCCACCACCCCCTTTCACATCACAGTCCCCCCTTCCATCATATCAGAGCCCCCCCCCTTTTACATCACAGTCCCCCCTTCACATCAGTGCCCCCTTCCATCATATCAGAGCCCCCCCCTTTTACATCACAGTCCCTCCTTCCATCATATCAGAGCCCCACCACCCCCTTTTACATCACAGTCCCCCCTTTCATCATATCAGAGCCCCCCCCTTTTACATCACAGTCCCCCCTTCACATCAGTGCCCCCTTCCATCATATCAGAACCCCCCCACCCCTTTTACATCACAGTCCCCCCTTCCATCATATCAGAGCCCCCCCTTTTACATCACAGTCCCCCCTTTTACATCACAGTCCCCCCTTTTACATCAGTCCCCCCCCTTCCATCATATCAGAGCCCCACCACCCCCTTTTACATCACAGTCCCCCCTTCCATCAAATCAGAACCCCCCCACCCCTTTTTCATCACAGTCCTTCCTTCACATCAGATATTGCCCCATCAAATCAGAGCCCCTCCTTTACATCAGAGGCTCCCCATCACACCACAGCCCCCGCACATAGGAGCCCCTCATCACATTGCAGTCATATATATATCAATGCGCCCACCACAAACAGTGCAATCATGACAGACATATAAAAAATATAAATCAGCAGAAAATACTGTCACAAAAAACGTGAAATCCAAACTTCCAATGAGTCTATTCTGATGTGACAGTCCAAGTGGTGTTGAATTTTTTTCGACTCCAAGCTGTGTTCCCCCCAGGGGCGGACTGACAACTCATGGGGCCCCCGGGCAATAGGGGATCATGGGGCCCCTGTGTCCTTGCCCAAACTCAAAAAAGCCTATGAAAAAGGTACCAGGGGCATCTCATGGGGCCCCCTACTGACCCCGGGCCCTCGGGCAGTGCCCGAGTTTCCAAATGGTCAGTCCGCCCCTGGTTCCCCCGCCATGTGTGGCTGAAATGGGAACTCACCAGATCAACTCGACCAACAAGCACAGATCCTGCATGCCTCAGGTGTGCCGCCCCGTCCTGCAGAATCCTTCAACCTCCTCCAATCACGAGATATTACCCACCTTCTCCATGTCTCAGAGAAAGAGAAGTCATCAAAGTACAGCAAGTTCTTCATTTAAAAGGTCTATAAAATCTATATATTTCACTCACATATTGTAGGCGCCACAGGCAGCACCAACCAAACGGCTCACTAGGGGGATCTGACCCTCCACACCGCTGCTGGTCCTGCGGTTGGCGTGCGTAACAATGCCGGAAGTGACATCAGAGGAACCGAACGTGTGTGCGACTCAAGCCTCAATGCATTTAGCATGTAGCGTGTCCTCAGGAAGCTCATAGGTGTTCCAATCCCCTCCATATCATGTGATTCAGGTGTTCCAACCCCCTCCATATCATGTGATTCAGGTGTTCCAATCCCGTCCCAATCATGTGATTTAGGTGTTCCAATCTCCTCCATATCATGTGATTCAGGTGTTCCAATCCCCTCCATATCATGTGAATCAGGTGTTCCAATCCCCTCCCAATCGTGTGAATTCAGGTGTTCCAATCCCCTCCCAAATCCCCTCCATATCATGTGATTCAGGTGTTCCAATCCCCTCCCATATCATGTGATTCAGGTGTTCCAATCCCCTCCATATCATGTGATTCAGGTGTTCCAATCCCCTCCCATCATGTGATTCAGGTGTTCCAATCCCCTCCAATCATGTGATTCAGGTGTTCCAATCCCGTCCCAATCATGTGATTTAGGTGTTCCAATCCCCTCCATATCATGTGATTCAGGTGTTCCAATCCCCTCCATATCATGTGAATCAGGTGTTCCAATCCCCTCCCAATCATGTGATTCAGGTGTTCCAATCCCCTCCAATCCCCTCCATATCATGTGATTCAGGTGTTCCAATCCCCTCCATATCATGTGATTCAGGTGTTCCAATCCCCTCCCAATCATGTGATTCAGGTGTTCCAATCCTCTCCATATCATGTGATTCAGGTGTTCCAATCCCCTCCATATCATGTGATTCAGGTGTTCCAATCCCCTCCATATCATGTGATTCAGGTGTTCCAATCCCCTCCCAATCATGTGATTCAGGTGTTCCAATCCCCTCCCAATCATGTGATTTAGGTGTTCCAATCCCCTCCATGGACACAGGTGTATACAATCAAGCCCCTAGGCATGCAGACTGCTTCTACAAACATTGGTGAAAGAATGGGTCGCTCTCAGGAGCTCAGTGACTCCAAGCGTGGTCCCGTGATAGGTGGCCACCTGGGCAATAAGTCCATCCGTGACATTTCCTGGCTACTAAATATTCCACGCTCAACTGTTAGTGGGATTATAACAAAGTGGAAGCAACTGGGAACAACAGCCACTCAGCCACCAAGTGGTAGGCCACGTCAGATGACAGGGCGGGGTCAGCACATGCTGAAGCGCACAGTGCGCAGAAGTCACCAATGTCTGCAGAGTCAATAGCTAAAGACCTCCAAACTTGGTGTGGCCTTCAGATGAGCCCAACAACAGTGCATAGAGAGCTTCATGGAATGGGTTTCCATGGCCGAGCAGCTGCATCCAAGCCTTCCATCACCAAGTGCAATGCAAAGCGTCGGATGCCGTGGTGTAAAGCACGCCGCCACTGGACTCTAGAGCATGGACGTGTGTTCACTGGAGTGACCAATCACGCTTCTCTGTCTGGCAATGGACATGTCTGGGTTTGGCGGTTGCCAGGAGAATGGTACTTACCTGACTGCATTGTGTAAAGTTTGGTGGAGGGGGGATTATGGTGTGGGGGTGTTCCTCAGGGGTTGGACTAATTTCACTGTAAGTCGCATGATTTCAATGTCGGGTTTGGTGTGACCGGGGTGTAATTTTTCTTGTTGCTAGGCAGATTTAAACAGCAAAACGCATCGAAAAAAATTCAAAAACGCATCAAAAACACACTACGTGCCTTTCTGCAGCATTTCCATTGAAGTCCATAGAACCAAAAATGCAACTTTTTTCGTTCATAAAAGTCCCCGCCCCTTTCCATGAAACGCTCCGGGTGAAAGCGCGCAGATGTGAACGTATCTCATAGGAAATCATGTTAAATGGACTGCTGCGCATTTCTGCAAAACGCAGCAGAAAACGCTTAGGTGAACCTGGGGTTAGAGTTGGACAATATGTATAGAAACGATGATCTGGTCCAAATACTTTCCCAATAATTGCGCACACGGCGTATATACCAGGGGCGGACTGACAACTCATGGGGCCCCTGGGCAATAGGGGATCATGGGGCCCTTGTGTCCTTGCCCAAACTCAAACCACACCCAAAAAAGCCTATGAAAGGTACCAGGGGCCTCATGGGGCCCCCTACTGACCCCAGGCCCTCAGGCAGTACCCGAGTGCCCTCGAATGGTCAGTCCGCCCCTTCTGTATACAGCACAGAGCTGCCATGTATGTATACGGAGCTTTTAGGGGCGGACTGACAACTCATGGGGCCCCCGGGCAATAGGGGATCATGGGGCCCTTGTGTCCTTGACCAAACTCAAAAAAGCCTATGGAAAAGGTACCAGGGGCATCTTATGGGGCCCCCTACTGACCCCGGGCCCTCGGGCAGTGCCCGAGTTTCCAAATGGTCAGTCCGCCCCTGGGCGCTGTCATCCCTGTTCCGGAAAGTCCTGTCGCTGAGATCTGGAGGTCGATGAATTATTAATAGAACGAATGATCGGGTGTAATTACGGACGCAGATCCAATCACTGACACATTGTACTGCAACAGTGCGCCCCTTATTGGAAAGGAGGAAACGGCGAGTCAGCCATGAGTCAGCCCGCGGCCCGCTGACCCGCCGTATCCGCAGACAATTATCCCCATTCTCTGGACCCGCGGGGCCCGACTCCGGAGGACTCCGCTTCCTGGCTGGGAAAAGCCGATCTGTCATTAAAGTGTGTGGAAAGTCCAATCGGATCGAGACTGTTTAAGGGGCTCATTCACACCGACTGCACCGCATTAAACACACGCGCGTTGCCGCAACACGATGGATCTGCTCATTCGCCCTATCAGTGTATTTTTTTGCTTTCTGTGTCCTACTGGGGAGATTTCCCTTCACTTCCTGTCTTGAAGATGCAACAGGAAATGAGAGGAAATCTCCCCAGATTGTTGCCACTGGAACAGAAACACGTCATGGTGTTTTTTTTGGGCGGGGGGGTTTATGCAATCGATTTGTGATTCGATCAATACCATCAAATCGAACAGCCAGAGCTTCCTTGATTTAGTTTAAGTTTCGATTGGATTTGATCGAATTGAGCCGATCAGCCAAGGCGGAGCATTATCGATCGTTCTGCATCCATCACACGGTCTCTGGATTCCAGGAGCATTGTGGGAGTTTCTTGCCGTTAGGGACTGCAATGCGTCTATTAGACAGGCCTTGTCAGGGGGACTTACAGTGAGAGGAAAGGACCAGCAGGATCCTGTGTGTATAGGGAACCCCTAGGACTAGACTGTACTCATCAGAGGACTAGGACCGCACTGTACTCATCAGAGGACTAGGACCGCACTGTACTCATCAGAGGACTAGGACCGCACTGTACTCATCAGAGGACTAGGACCGCACTGTACTCATCAGAGGACTAGGACCGCACTGTACTCATCAAAGGACTAGGACCGCACTGTACTCATCAAAGGACTAGGACCGCACTGTACTCATCAGACTAGGACCGCACTGTACTCATCAGAGTACTAGGACCGCACTGTACTGATCAAAGGACTAGGACTGCACTGTACTCATCAGAGTACTAGGACCGCACTGTACTCATCAGACTAGGACCGCACTGTACTCATCAGAGGACTAGGACCGCACTGTACTCATCAGAGGACTAGGACCGCACTGTACTCATCAGAGGACTAGGACCCGCACTGTACTCATCAAAGGACTAGGACCGCACTGTACTCATCAAAGGACTAGGACCGCACTGTACTCATCAGACTAGGACCGCACTGTACTCATCAGAGGACTAGGACCGCACTGTACTCATCAGAGGACTAGGACCGCACTAGACTCATCAGAGGACTAGGACCGCACTGGACTCATCAGAGGACTAGGACCGCACTGGACTCATCACAGGACTAGGACCGCACTGGACTCATCAGAGGACTAGGACCGCACTGGACTCATCAGAGGACTAGGACCGCACTGTACTCATCAAAGGACTAGGACCGCACTGTACTCATCAAAGGACTAGGACCGCACTGTACTCAAAGGACTAGGACCACTGTACTCATCAGAGGACTAGGACCGCACTGTACTGATCAAAGGACTAGGACCGCACTGGACTCATCAGAGTACTAGGACCGCACTGTACTCATCAGAGGACTAGGACCGCACTGTACTCATCAGAGTACTAGGACCGCACTGTACTCATCAACTAGGACCGCACTGTACTCATCAGACTAGGACCGCACTGGACTCCTCAGACTAGGACCGCACTGGACTCATCAGACTAGGACCGCACTGTACTCATCAGAGGACTAGGACTGCACTGTACTCATCAGACTAGGACCGCACTGGACTCATCAGACTAGGACCGCACTGGACTCATCAGACTAGGACCGCACTGTACTCATCAGACTAGAACCGCAGTGTACTCATCAGACTAGGACCGAACTGGTCTCATCAGACTAGGACCGCACTGTACTCATCAGAGGACTAGGACCGCACTGTACTCATCAGAGGACTAGGACCGCACTGTACTCATCAGAGGACTAGGACCGCATTGGACTCATCACAGGACTAGGACTGCACTGTACTCATCAGAGGACTAGGACAGAAATGTACTCATCAGACTAGGACCACACTGTACTCAGACTAGGACCGCACTGTACTCAAAGAACTAGGACCGTACTGTACTCATTAAAGAACTAGGACCGTACTGTACTCATTAAAGGACTAGGACCGCACTGTTCTCATCAAACTAGGACCACACTGTACTCATCAGACCAGGACCACATAGGACATCAGACTAAGACCGCATAGGACATCAGACCAGGACCACATAGGACATCAGACCAGGACCGCATAGGACATCAGACCAGGACCACATAGGACATCAAACCAGGACCGCATAGGACGTCAGACATGCTCTGCAGGCTCTGAGTTTCCATTGGCTCTGCATGCTCTGCGTCTCCCCATGTAAGTGCGTCATAGAGGTTTATCCCGGCTCTAGTTCAGGTATTTTAGTAAATCGGGACCATTGTCTCCCCTCCTCACATAGCTGAATGCCAACAAACAATGATAATCCCATTTCATGATTCCGCCGAGCCGGGACCGCATGACTCTGTGGTCACTGTATGGGGGGGTCGCTGGGAATTATTTGGGGTATGAAATGGGAGTGTAGGAATGTGAGGGGCCTACAAACAGTGTATAGTGGACTGTCAGTGTGAGCTCCGGTCTGTGTGTCGGGTCTCAGTGATAGGTCTGTGTGTTGGGTCTCTGTGTCGGGTTCTGGTCAGGTCTCAGTGTCGGGTCTGTGTGTCGGGTCTCAGTGTCGGATCTGTGTGTCGGGTCTCAGTGTCGGATCTGTGTGTCGGGTCTGTGTGTCGGATCTGTGTGTCGGGTCTCAGTGTCGGATCTGTGTGTCGGGTCTCAGTGTCGGATCTGTGTGTCGGGTCTCAGTGTCGGGTCTGTGTGTCGGGTCTGTGTGTCGGGTCTCAGTGATAGGTCTGTGTGTTGGATCTGTGTGTCGGGTCTCAGTGTCGGGTCTGTGTGTCGGGTTTGTGGTGTCAGGTCTCAGTGTCGGGTCTGTGTGTCGGGTCTGTGTGTTGGATCTCTGTGTCGGGTCTCAGTGTCGGGTCTGTGTGTCGGGTCTGTGTGTCGGTCTCTCAGTGATCGGGTCTGTGTGTCGGGATCTCAGTGTCGGGTCTCAGTGTCGGGTCTCTCTCTGTGTCGGGTCTGTGTTGGATCTGTGTGTGTCGAGGTTTCAGTGTCGGGTCTGTGTGTCAGGTCTCAGTGTCGGGTCTGTGTGTCGGGTCTGTGTCGGATCTGTGTGTCGGGTCTCAGTGTCGGGTCTGTGTGTCGGGTCTGTGTGTCGGGTCTGTGTGTTGGATCTATGTGTCGGGTTTCAGTGTCAGGTCTGTGTGTCGGGTCTCAGTGTCGGGTCTGTGTGTTGGATCTGTGTGTCGGGTCTCAGTGTTGGGTCTGTGTGTCGGGTTTCAGTGTCGGGTCTCAGTGTCGGGTCTGTGGTGTCAGGTCTCAGTGTCGGGTCTGTGTGTCGGGTCTCAGTGTCGGATCTGTGTGTCGGGTCTCAGTGTCGGGTCTGTGTGTTGGATCTATGTGTCGGGTTTCAGTGTCAGGTCTGTGTGTTGGATCTCTGTGTTGGGTCGGGTCTGTGTCGGGTTTGTGGTGTCAGGTCTCAGTGTCGGGTCTGTGTGTCGGGTCTCAGTGTCGGATCTGTGTGTCGGGTCTCAGTGTCGGGTTTCAGTGTCAGGTCTGTGTGGGTCTGCGTGTCGGGTCTGTGTGTCGGGTCTCAGTGTCGGATCTGTGTGTCGGGTCTGTGTATCGGGTCTCAGTGTTGGGTCTGTGTATCGGGTCTCAGTGTCGGGTCTG